TTAAGTAACCCAAAGCACAAACGAAGCAGTACAACTGCAGACTAAGCCCGCAACCCCACAGCAGCTGAACAAGACTAACCCTCCACGTGGGGTTAAGCTCGGACAAAGCTCAAAGTCCAAGTGCATGCTCTAACAGCACGACCAAGCCCATATAACTCCTCATCAACATTCTAGCTTGACAACTTGGTGGGAGGGTGCAGACTGGTTTCTTTTTGTCTTTAATACTGTTTTCTAGTTATACAGGTAAAAGATACAAACATTCTCATTTGAAAAGGTTGATTCTACAGGGAAAAAAAAAGAAAGCAAAAGTAAGGGAATTTATTTAACTATTTCAATCTTGATAGATATTTGAATTGTTTCTAATTTTTCCTATTGTAAAAGTGTAATAAAGTCCTTTGTACATTAATCTTTGTGTACTTGTACAAACATTTCTTTAAAATCGATTGCTAGTAGTAACAGGTGTATACACTAACCAGGCCAGAAACAGGAAGCGTGATCTGATAGGAGACACCATTAGTGTCTAGTCCAAGTCAGTATAAAACGCTGATGCCTACTCTTGGTATCTGTCCACACTCTTGTTCGGAGCCTGATCTGGGCCCCCACAATGTGACCGTTCTCTTACTACCCTTCTCTCACTGCCCCTGCCAGGAAATCCTTTCTGGTGTGCTCGCTGGAATCCCTGCTACGCTAAAAACAAGTTACCTTATATTATTAACCTTGGTGCAGAATATTCCCACACTTCTTTGCCTTAACTGCAACCCAATCGTTTTTTAAAAATGATATTCTCTCAGAATGAGGCTGCTGAGTTTCCCACAGAGTTGGAAGGAGATTGGAAGTGGTTTGGAAGGAGATTGGAAGGAGAAGAGGGAAGTCTGCATTTTTGCTGTGGTTGTGCTCCGTGCTCCCTTGGCTTCCAGACCATTATTTCTTCATCATATAAAAATGGCTCCTTGAATAGATAGTGGTGGTGGTTGCACAGTATTATGAATACAACTAATGCCACTGAATTGTGGTTAAAATGGTAAATTTTATGTTATGTGTATTTTACCACAAAGAGAAAATGACTCCTTTGAGGCCCATGTCATCTGCCCGTGCCCATACTCTACTCCTTCTTGTCACTATCATCCTCAAACCTGCTCCTTCCCTCCAATGATCCAGGACTTTGGCCCAGGACTGTTATCTTCTCAATTCCAACTATGACCTACCCTCAAAAGAGCAAAAATAAATTCATGATTAAAATGTAAAACATAATAATATAAACTTAGAAAAATATTTTTTAGAAAAATGTATGTATAATCCCAGGTAGGAGACTCTAGGTGAAAAATCAGAATCCTCAATGGGGGAATAAAATGAGAGATTTCACTGTATTAAAAACTTAAAATGCATTAATAGAAAGCAAAAAGCTCTATAATGTTTAAAAAACATAACAGAAGGAAAATACTTGCAATACATATGACTGACAAAAGTTTCTCCCTCATATACAAAGAGTGCCTACAGAATGATAAGGAAAAGAACCAAACAAACAAACGAGCAAACGAACAAAGCAAAAAAGCCAATAGAATAAATGGCCAAGGGATATGAACAGGTAATTCAGATGAAATACAAATAACAGATTAACTTGATAAGATGCACAAAGATAAAATCAGTTAAGAAACACAAACTATAACTGGGATATACCATTCCTCCTCCCCCAAAACAAATAATATATATGATAATAATTAGCCAAATTTAAAACACTGAGAACATGTGGAGCTGAGAAGTGGGGGAGGAGCAGTATTCTCATCCATTGCTACTGGGAGTAAAATTGGTTCAGTCTTTTTGTAATCTGGTGGTAGCTACTAAAATTTTTAATTTGGAAAACATTTTGGCCCATGACGCTCCCATTTAGGAATCTATTACAGAGAAATTGTATATACACACAAACACTGTCATATTTATTTCATCTCCTATACTATTACTACCAAATCTTTTTCTAACCCTCATGTTCTTCACTTCAGGGTCCCTTACTCTTTGGGTTTCTTGTCTACTTCTGGTTCATTGTATTTCTTGACACTTTTTTTTCTCCCCTGAAACTGCCCTGTAAAATCCCCGTCCTTCATCATTCCTACCATTTGACTTTTCTGTTATTACTGGTCCGACACGCTGCTGCTTACGCATGCAATGGTGCAGACTGAAGTCATTACAAATGTATGGCCTCCAGCCTCACCTGAGCTCCTGGTGCTAACCAGCAATATTGTGTCTCTAAGCAGCTGTCACTCTTGTGGAAATTCCAAAATTCTGCCTTCCATAGAGCGCCAACTTATCACTTCCTCTCTCATTCTTAGCACGTGACCTTGTCTTTTATCTCGCTGAGAAAATGGAGTTCATCAGGCAAGAACAGTCTACATTTCTTCCCTATCACTTAACAAACATATCAGAATCTTCACCCATCCTTCCCCCTTCCACTCTTTCTACCCAAGGTTATTTCTTCCATTTGTACATTGGATCTCATATTTATCCACTAACTCAAGGATCTTGGTCTTGCATGTATTTTTAATCTCCCTCTTTCAACTGAATTTTTCACCTCAAGATGTAAACAAGAGCTATTCTCTCCTATCTACGATATGTAAAAATATACAGCCCTACCTATAGCCCTTTATTTAGATGTTATCTCTTTCCTTCCTTCCATTACAAAATTCTTAAAAGAGACTTCTAAACTCATTGTTTCCACTTCCTTACCTCCTATTTATTTGCCAGCTCACTGAAAGGTCACACTTTTCACCAGCACACCAATGAAGGGTGATGAACAATGACCTCCATATTGCCAGCTTCACTGAACGCTCCTCTCGTTGTTGTGTTACGTCTCTTTAGCACTTTATACTGATAGTGCTCTCTCCACTTTGAAAAGCACTCCTTTCTTTGCTTTCATCACATCATTTTCTTACCCTCTCCTGTGTGCCAGAACAATTTTCTCCCCTCCTCTTCATTTCCTTCATGATTTCAATTCTAATAAGGAAAAAAGACTTTATTATCATCAAAGTTTTTCTATGAGAGATCATTACTAGCAATGATCTTATAGCTGTTCCAATGTGAAGAAGCTAAAAGACCTTCTCCTAAGTAAAAACTCATCATTGCCCTTCCAGGATAGAGCCAGAGTAGAAAGTCATCATGATTGTGAGGAGCTTGTGGTTTATGTACCTTTGCTTGATGAGGATATGGAGAAATAGGCACTTTAACTTGTACATTACTAGAGAATTTAAATGAGGGGGTGGGGTGGGGGGAGCATTTGAAAGTATCCAGTGACACAGCAATTCCCCCAATATACTCATATATGTACAAAACACAAATAGGATATTTATCTAAAATCTACAGAAAAAAATCATAGGACCTAGAATAGCTAAAACAATTTTGAAAAAGAAAAACAAAATTAGAGGACTACACTACCTGATTTCAAGACTTACTATAAAATTACAGTGAGATAAAAATGAAAAGATAGACATAAAAATAAACAGAACAGAAGAAAAAATGTAAAAATAGACCTACATGTTTATGATCATTAATTTCAAACAAACGTATCAAGGAAATTCAATGAAGAAAAGATAGCTATTTCAATAAATGGTGCTGGAGCAATTAGGCATCTATAGGAAGAAAAAAATGACCTCAAACCATATTTTACACCATATATAAAAGTTAGCTCAAAATAGATCAGAGACCTAAATGCAAAACTTAAAACTATAAAACGTCTAGAAAACATAAAGGCAATCTTTGTGACCTTGGACTAGGCAAAGATTTCTTAGACAACATACAAAAATTATGAACTATAATACAAAAACTGATAAACTTTCATAAAAATTAAAATCTTATGTTCTTTGAAACACACTGTTAAGATAATGAAAAGATAAGCCACAGACTGGGAAAAGGTATTTGCAAAATGTATATTTGATGAGAATTTGTATCCAGAACATACAAGAATTCTGAAAACTCAATAACAAGAAAACAAGTAAATGCACAAAATATTTGAACAGCTATTTCATCAAAGAATATATGTGGATGGCATATAAGCACATGAAAAGATGCTCGACATCATCAATCTTTAAGAAAACGGTAATTAAAACCACAATGAGTAAATTAGAATGGCTAAAATTTAAAGACTCACTATACAAAAAAAAAAAAGACTCATTATACCAAGTGTTGTTGAGGACGTAGAGGAAATGGAACTCTCTCACATCTTTAGTTTCTAGGTTTTTTTGTTTTTGTTTGTTTGTTTGTTTGTTCAGCTGAGCCACCCTGCCACCTGTTGGCAGCTCAGAGGCAGCTCAGCTCGGGCCAGGACTCAAACTGCTGTTGCTCAGAGCTCAAACTGTTGAGCGAGCTCTTAACCAACTGAGCCACTCAGCCGGCCCTTAGTTTCTAGTTTTACCAAACTTTATTTCACTAGGCAAAGTAAAAGGATTGAGTCAATCACTGATCCTAGCTTCTAACAAATAAGTCTAAGGAATAAACAAATGACTAGGAAATAAGCTATTTCAAATGCAACATCCTTAAGGGAGACAAAGCAGTAAAGAACTTGTCCCAATTCTGATGACAGGTGGAGAAAATCCTTACAAGAGGACCGAGCCTAGTCACAGAGGAGAGCTGCACACATCCTGCCTGCTCCGGAGAGGATTCCTTTATTTCTCTTTGAATAAGTAAATGAGATTGTGCACTCCATAGCATCCAAGCCATGGCCCAAGTGGAATCACTATCATTACACTTAACCAAGTGCGAGTCGCTAGCATCACAAACATAACCAAGAGATACCCTGTGGCCCCAGAACCAAAGGTAAGAGATCAGAGGGAGATGGGAGTTGGTTTCTACTACTTCCTTCTATGAACATTACATCTGGATTAAACTGGCCCTTTGCCTTTTTAGAATCAGCTATTACATGCTCGTATGGGTGGGGTGAGGAAGGACTAAAATATGCTGTGTTTCTTGCCCTTAATCCCTCTAATTAACTCTTAGACTAATAGACACAACTAGAATAAAAATTTTAAATTCTTATTTTTTATTCATCCATTCATTTATTTAATAGTCACTGATATAAGCACTATTTTAAGTGTTTGGGATACAATAACGATAAGATACAGTCCACTCCTAAAAATACTATCAAAGAGGAAGACAAGTAAACAGATTACAATCCAGCATCATCAGAGGTTTAGAACATGGTTCCCATCCTTACTTCCTCCTATAGCCATGAACAGCACCTTCTCTCCTTATCTATGTCCAAACACTACCAAAAAGAAATAATGAAGTTTTTTTTCTCATTTCTGAGGCATTAGTGCCTAAAATAATTTAGGGATCAACCACATAAACTACTTCCAGAAATTATCCTCTATAAAAATGCCTTATCAGATTGACCACTGTGGTCAATTAGCAAGAATGTGGTAAATTACACATTCACAACTTGCAGAAGATACAGTCCCACATTGGTTTATTCAACCACATCTATGCATACTCAGAAAAACTAAATTCAGTCAAGGCCAGGTCTTTAAGTATGAAGAGCTGAGAACCAGAAAGCCCCCTCTGCTCTCATTCACTCTCCACAACTTATTTTCTCACCATTAGCATTATTCTTTAGAATAAAGCTTTATCTGCAAAGGGCCACCGGTTAGGAAAAAAAATACATTATCAGGGAGAAGTGACATGTCAACCATTAGCACACATAAAAACCCTCTAGCACATTAGCAATAGGATGTATTTGCATAGATCTCATCAGATCAGCTCAGGACATAAGATAGAAAAGGTAAATGATAGAGATGGTGTGGACTGGAATAAAGTCACTAGGGTGAGAAATCCTAAAACAAAAGTTACCTATTTCACAAATTTGCCTAGATCTGGTCTTTAATTTGTTATGATAATATCTAAACACTCTTAAAGAGAGCCCAGCAATAAACCATCAATCACGGGGGAGCCGCGTTAATCTCACATTGAATGCCATGTCCTACAAGGTCAGCACGCAGTCAGCATACACTCGTGGATATCCCAGCACGCAGAGGCCAGTTTCTTCTCTAGGGAGCCATATGGCAGATCTGACCAGCCATTAAAGTCGGACCTTCTTACAGACCCACTGTAAAAGAACTTCGCAGCTAGAGGCACTCAGACCATGCTTGTTGATGGCACCACACTTCTGTACCAAGCTGTTTGAAATAATCCTGTAAGAAATCAGAAAAACCAATCAAGGTGACATACAGAGTAAAGGAGTTGTAAGGCATGAAAGGATAAAAAGTAAGTAAATTTTTTTCTCCCTGTTCAGGCCCCACTTCTCTCAGCTCCCAAAATAGCAGAAAATAAAAACTGCTCATTAGCTTCTCTTTTAAATGTCATTCTTTTTTTGTCCTTATCCACTGTTCACTTCTTCCTTGTTCCCTATTTTCTTTCTTCACCCTTTCCTCTCTTCTCCATCTGCTATCCTTGATCTAATTCACATAATTTTTCTTCCCCTTCTCCTCTCTTCTCTCCTCTTCTCTTCTCTACCCTCCTCCTCCTCCTCCTCCTCCTCCTCTTCTTCCTTCTTCCTCCTCCTCCTTCTCTCTCTGTCTCTCTCTTCCTTGAAGCCCCTTACCTAGAGATGTTTAAGGCTGATCCATCTTCCCACCTCCAGCCAGAATTGTTCCTCAGACCAATCCAGTAGAAGTTTTCATTGAGGGAACTTTTAAGTAGGTTCTAAGGGAGAGATTGAAGATGATTAAAAAAGATAAGATTCAGAAAACCAAAGAAGAGACCCAGTGTCATGGTGAAACAATTATTCCTTACACCCTCTCTCATCACCATTATTATGGACAGAATGTTTGTGTCCCCTCAAAATTTACATGTTGAAGCTCTGACCGCCAATGTGATGGTATTTAGAGGTGGAGCCTTTGGGAGGTAATACGGTCTCGTTGAGGTCCTGAGGGTAGGGCCTTCACTAATGATGGGATTAGTGTCCTTATAAGAAGAAATGGCCAGAGCTCAATTGCTCTCCACCATGTGAGGACACAATGAGAAGGTGGCTGTCTGCAAGCCAGGAAGAAGGCTCTCATCAGGAATTAAATCAGTCAGCACCTTGATCTTGGACTTCCCAGCCTCCAGAACTGAGACACAAATGTCTGTGGTTTAAGCCACCCAGTCTATGGTATTTTGTTACAGCAGTCTAAGCTGACTAAAACACCACCTATCCAAATAACTGTTCTCTTTTTAAAACTCTAGTTGTAGAGATTTGTTGGTTGCAGAGTGGAACACTTCCTAGAATTGACTTTATGTTATAATTGTATTCTTATAACATGACAGATAAGATAAATATTACATCTCTACCTTCCACTGCAGCTTCCTCCTTCATTGGATGGCACCTGATAGGTATTCAAATAACTTTGAAAGAAAAAAGCTAAATGCTGCTGTAGAAGCAGTCATCTTATCATTTAATACATAAATTATTAAGCCTAATGCAATGTACTTATTTCTTTTTTCCCATTAAACTCCCATTTTCCAAGTCCTTGTCAATTTTGCATATAACAAGGGGTGAGGGGAAAGCAAATCTTCAGGAAACAAGCTTAAGATATAGTTAAGTTGACTACACCCTTTATATGTCCCACGCTACCCACTAGAACAGAGATAAAAGATTCTTTTCTCTGCAGAGTGTGACATTCAAATGAAGGACTTTATGTCCTAAGGGAATTGCCTCTATAAATGAAATAAAATAAAGAATAAATCCCAGAAGATTAATTTCATGATAGGATTTGGTATTAGTGTAATGAATATTTTGCAACAAATGAACTATCACCTTGGATTTGAAACTTGCTTTTGTTACAGCTTCGTTATGATGAATTTTCAATGTGATATTGTCCTTGCTCATGAGCAAGAAAAGGATAAAACTATAAGTCTGAAGACCAAAAAAATGATGGGAAACCCTTGCATATAAAATAAGAAACTCAGTGTTTGTGTATGTTTTAGAGTATGAGTGAATATGCAAAGGTATTCATTCATATGTGTCTTAACAGATACCAAAGCCTCTGGGTTACATGTGTGGGCAAAGAGTAAATGTGTACAGTGGCATTCACCGGCAGTGATAACTAACGTCTCTGTGTGTCCAGAAGATATTGTATGCATAATTAATGCGATAATTGCCTAGCATCTTCTCTTTACTTCTTATTCTAATTCCCTGAAGTCGCTGCAAATCCCTTGTGAAAGAAAATGGAAACTAGTAAGAAAGCATTTAAATTGCTTCTCTGTTCCACTTATTTTGTCCCCAGAAAGACTGCAATTGAGCGTTTTTGTTTGGCTGCTTGGTTGGTTTGGTTTTCTTTGAGTTAGAGCTTGATCTGATAGGAGTTAAAGAAAAAGACCATAACTGGTTCCCATGATCATTTCCTGACTGATCATTTGCCACAAGCCTCCTTCCTGCATTAATGCTTTGAGATAATCTTCCATTTCATCTGGCAGTGGCCATGACACAGAACATCACATTCTCAAATTCAGTGAACTTGATTTGACCCCCCTCCTCCCCCTGAAAACATCTCTCCTGTGGAGGAATAGAAGCTCAAAGAAAAAGGGTGGTGACATGTGTTATTTCACAGTAATTTAGTGGTAGGATGTGGACTAGAACCCAAGGTCTCGCTCAGCACGTTCTCTCCTGAGATAGTCCACCTCTCTGTAACTCATCTTCTCTTTAAACTGCACTCCCACCAGCCCTGAAGAAATCAGGAGGCTCCCAGCATGGGCCAAGAATCACACACATTCAGCAAACTAAGAGACTGTACATTTTCTTTGATAAAACAGGTCAAGATGACAGCTTAAGCTTTTATTATAACATTGAATTCCACTCTTAGTTACTTCCTGGGGGTGCTGATGTTGCCATAGAATAGGCTGATATAGGAATAAAGATGCTTATTAAAGCTAATACATCTTGTTTCTTATTACACCCAAGGTCAGATATCCTAAAACCTGGGCTAGATGAGGGAGACCCAAGATGGCAGGGCATTCCTGGATTTCCTTGAGGCAATTGGGAAAATCTTCTCTAGGCGTTTTTGAAAAATCGGAGAAAATTACTTTCTTCTTCAAGTTTCAGGAAAAAGTATATTTAAACTCCCTAATTTTGCTCCAAACATATATTTAAACATATTAATACTTTCTTTCTTTTTTTTTTTTTT